AAACAGTATAGTCTCGATTATCCAATTAATCGTTAAATCGTGAAGGAAAGTTATGCAGTAAATCGGCTCACAATCCACTAAAGATCGCAGGCTAGCGATGCCATCTAGAGTTGATTATGGTCTGGATAGGTTAATTAATGTCTTATTAATAATTTAGATAACATTTCAGGCCTAAATAAAGACCTGCAATAGACAAATTTAGCTCTTGCATAATGTATGTTTAATTAGATGAATTCCGGTATAAGCTGTATTAGCAAGTGTTGTGAGGGCTGCGTCTTTAGTTACAGACAATAAACTTTAATTGAACTAAATTGGCTGCTATAAACTAGGAATGTATAATCTAACTATAAAAGGAAGACATCTAGTAGACTCCTCATAAACTTGCTATACACCTAATACAGTGTTTGTTTCATTTAAGATTTATAACCAGAGAACTTTAGCTTTTACAATATTCGTATTAGGAGTTCTAAATGCTCGTGCAAAGTTCTACTTTAGCTTTTACAGTATTCAAATTTAAAAGACTGCATACAAAATTGATAAACTTATATGTAACTGAAATTGACACCCCCCCCCCCCCCCAAAAAAAAAAAAAAAAATCCCACAAAAAATCCCTGTTATCGACCCTAGCCGGCGATTAGTAGAACCTCTGTCATTTGATTTAATAAAAAAAAACGGTATCTTTGTTTCGAGTTCGAGATAGTATGATTTTGTAATTTTTACTGATTATTTCGAGTTCGAGATAATACGATTTTGTAATATCGCCGCTATCCTTAGTGCTTTGTTTCACAAACTGTTTTTGCTCTAACAATAAAAAGACAAACGAGCAAACTATAAAATATAAAAAAAATATATATCGCCGAATAAATCTTATAAAACGCTTGAAACAATTAATAAAAATTGCGGATTATTACCTACATTTAAGGAGTAACCAATAAATTACGGATTATCCATTAATATATTTTTTTTGTTTCGCGTATTCCCCGAAATATTTCGGGTTTTTCTTCGTTTCTTCGCGTGTGATTTCTGTATTTGCCCAGTTGCTGGTATTTTGATAATCGTGAAGCTGGGAGTGAATCATATAGCGATCAGAGAGCCAACAATCGCCAGCTCTTAAACATATGTGACCCCATCCTCCAGACCCGAGCTGTATGATTTTCGCTTGATATTTATATTCTGTTCTCTGGCATCTCGTCACTGCGAGATATAATACGTAAAGATCAGACCGGGGCAACTACGGGAAGTGTAATTTTTCCGCCATGATATTTCCGAAATGTTGAGTCAAGAAATTGAGAGAATAATCAGCGAGATGAAAAACACGCGCAATATGTTCGCCTATGTTTGCAAGAATGTCGGATAAATTGTTCGCCCGTGGTTTTTCAACATTCGTGGTAACTTGCATGATTATTATGTCTACTAGGCCGCATATTAACATAGTGTTCGACCTAATTACAAACAATTACCCCGCCAAAACAATTTTTTCTTCTTCCTTTAGCCGTCGGGGTCAACTAAAGCCATGTTGTCAATTTATAAAGAAGGATTTTAGAATAACTGTAAAATGCGAATTGTTTGTAGTTTGTATTGAAACAATGTGGTGACAATTTGAGAAAGAATAACACATTAAATGAATAAAATTGAAAGCTTAAATTTACGGAGACGAGATTTCTAGGAGACGTATCGGACAGTGGTTGGAATTAAGGCCTCAAGGCGCCAGGGGTCAATCTGTCTGCGATATCACACTCGGTAGAAGCTGGCGTTAATCCCTAGATGATCAATAATCATTTTCTTCATTTGTTCACGGAACAGTGAAATGAAATGAAATGAAATGGGGGGTTTAACGTCCTACTGTTCTGCTCCAAACTGGGCTAATGAGAGAGAGACAGAGAGAGAGAGAGAGAGAGAGAGAGAGAGAGATTTTAACGTCCACTCGACACAGACTAGGGGTCTTTAGCAGTGGGAGGAAACCGAAGGACCCGGAGAAAACCCACGAGGTTGGACAGGCAACCCTACTCCTTATCACGTACAACTGGGAATTCGAAACCACGCCAGTTAACTCAATGACAGACTTTATAATATACTATTCAAAAAAAGTAGGGGATATTTGATTTTTAAGTGTTATTAAAGTCACCTAATGAAACTGACGAAGAAACAAATGACAAAATGAAATGAAGTTCACATTCATCGATTTATTCCAAATGATCGTTAGACTTAGTAAGGCACAGACTGACCATTATAAGGGTAAAATGATACCCGGGGTCAAACAGCAAAGTTACCACAGCATCACAACCAAGTCAGTAACGGGTAAATCCTCCTCTGTTTGCCAAACAAGCATTGATCCGATGTGGCATACTCCTAATGAGACGTCTAAGGTCATTTTGGTCCAGATTGTCCCATTCCTGTTGCAACGCAGCAGCAAGTTCTTGGACATTGGCAGGACGTTGTTGACGTTGACGTAACCGCTGTCCAAGCATGTCCCAGACATGCTCGATGGGGGAGAGGTCGGGACTCAGTGCTGGCCAAGCTAATGTGGTGATGTTCTGTTGTTGGAGGTAACCTGTAACGATCCTGGCCCTGTGACATCTTGCGTTGTCATCCTGGAAGATGAAACGGCGGCCATGACGTTGTGCGAACGGCACAACATGGACTGCCAAGATGTTGTCCCGGTAGTACTGGCCTGTAACACGCCCTGCAACAACATGTAAAGCCGTTCTTCCAGCAACAGTGATGCCTCCCCACACCATAACAGAACCACCCCCAAATCGATCATGTCTGATGACGTTAACGTCTTGGAAGCGCTCGTTTCGACGACGCCACACCCTCCTACGTCTGTCCAAAAAATCAACAGTGAACCTTGACTCATCTGAAAACATCACATTGCTCCAGCGTCGATTATCCCAGTGTTGACGATCCCTACACCAACGACGTCTTGCCTGAATGTGATGATCTCTCAAACAAGGGATTACGCGAGGACGTCGGGCGCGAAGGTGACCCCTATGCAGTCGATTCCGAATCGTCTGGCCACTCACTCTCACACCAGTGTCTGTTTGAAGACGAGCGCTGATCTGATTTGCTGTGATGACACGATTTCTCAAGGCCAAGGTACGGATAAATCGATCCTGGGCTTGAGTTGTCGCCCTTGGTCGACCTGAGCGTGGTCTGTCCTGTACAGATTGTGTATCACGGTATCTGGACCATAGCCTGCTTATGACAGACTGAGAAACATTCATCGTCCGCGCCACAACCGCCTGTGTTGTGCCGATCTGTAGCATGCCAAGGGCACGTAACCTTTCATTTTGGGTAAGCCGACGCATATCAAAATTTGTTTTCTGGACACTAAAACAATTAAACTGATGTTTCCACCCTGGAATTCAATGCCACAATGACTGTAACATTCAAAGTCAGAGTCGTGCAAATCTTGGGTTGGACCCCCATGATGATCCCAAGCATCACCTGCATTCCATGCGGTAGCTATTGGTGCGTTTGGGCGTCACATGTAACTGGAAATGTTTCTTCTGTTAGGTTCTATAGTGACTTTTTTCTTAGTCATTTGCATATTTTAGTATTATGCCCCCAAAATCAAATATCCCCTACTTTTTTTGAATAGTATATAATGCACACGCACTAACCATACTGGTTAGTGAGCCAGTGCCACACGCACTAACCATACTGGTTAGTGAGCCAGTGCCACACGCACTAACCATACTGGTTAGTGAGCCAGTGCCACACGCATCGAGTCGCCGTGTCTCATGATACAGCGCGCACCATGCTAACCATTCGGCCATCCACCCCTCCCCCCCCCCATCCCCGGGCTAATGAAGACGGGACAAGGAACAGTGACTGGGACGAACAACCACGGTGCCGTGTATACATTGGCATGCACGTTAAAGATCCCTTGACAGTTTGAATTAAAAGTAAGAGTAGGCCGTAGTCCGGGCAAAATTTCCCTCATAGCACACTGTATGGGCTATACCCGTCGCCATTATCCCCAATGTGAATCGTATAAACAGATTTAGAGATGTTCCATCAAGCTCTATGGAAATCATCATTTAAATCGACGTGAACTTACCCCCCCCCCTCTCCTTCCCATACACACACCAGTAACCACCCACCGCACCTCTCCACAAATCAAAACAGTTGTCCAGGGGCATCATAAACACTTATTTAGAGATGGGCAGTCCTAGAAATTTATGTTTTATTAATATATAACATGATCATCATTTATGTCAACATAATCACATTTTCCCCCAATTTTAGACATTGAACCCCCACCCCACCCCCCGTATCTCGAAAACGCCCCCTCAAACGCCCGATCACCACCCAGATTCGGAATCTAAGCAAAAAACTTGTCTAGAAAAACTTGGTCTCACAAATTCACAGCCCGGGTGGCGATCCCCCCCCCCCACCCCTTCAGCCACCGGACTACAAAGACTGAATACAAGGTCCAATATTTAAGCTTTGTTTAATTTTACCACCACTAAAAATTATAAAATCAAATATATAATCCAGAAAAAAAAATCAACATCGTCGTTTCAGTCTTTAAAACAAGCACACCTTAAAATCCTCGTTAGAATCGCGAATAATTTAAACAGCGATTTTCTTTCATTCAAAACAGCTATTTCTACTTCACAACTTTTTGTTAAGGCGGCAGTGCGGAAGTTCCTGATATTGGTCAAGAGAGTTCCTTGGGAACTTCCCGCGTGGTTTGCCCGAGTTCTTCGGATAGGACGAAAAACCGGGTTTCCGTGTACACATTGACGAGAACTCTTGGTATCGTACTGTATGGCCTACGCTCGTCTTCATCAGCCCAGTTGGTGCCGAAAAGTAGGACGTTAAACCCCATTTCTGTGATTGTGATTGAAGGTAAATATTACAGGAAAAAAACGTTTTCTTGCCTCGCGGTTTGATTTGTATTACCTTAATAATCACATCAATTTTTATGTATCGAAAATTTAAAATATTTCTGATCTCCAAATTCGGGAATTCTGAAATTAACTACTACATACCTGAGAATAAGTGTCATGGCGGGGTCCTAATTGCATCTCGTAACCATGGGTAGCAGCGGTTGCCATGGCACGCATGGTTTGTAGCTGCCCGAATCTTTCTCTTTTCCGCCATTTTGCTCTGCGATTTTGAAACCAGACCTGAAATACAGAATAAATGAAATGAAATGAAATGGGGTTTAACGTCCTACTGTTCTGCTCCGACTGGGCTAATAAAGAGTGACATACGCCATACAGTGTGCTATGAGGGAAATTTTTCCCGGACAGTGGCACTACGGCCTACTCTTTTATCGAATTTCAACTGTCAAGGAATCTTTTACGTACACGCCAATGTGTACACGGGACCTCGGGTTTTCGTCCAACCCGAACGATTAGACAACTGTCCTTGTCAGGCCCCCCGTGCTGCATCACTGACAAGGGGGAACCACTCTAGAAGAAATTCAGAATACAACAACAACTGTTTGTTTAAAATGAAAAACAAGAAAAGATAAGCTGAAATCCAATCGTTTAATTTTTATAAATAAAGTAAAATAATATTTATTATTTTTTATTAACTTTTTTTTCAGGTTTTTTCTGAAAGATTTTATTGCTCGTTGAGGTAGGTCTTAAACTATAATTAATAAGATTCACGTTTCCAGGGAACAGGAACTTTTTGTACGATTAAATAATAAAATAGCCCTGTTATTGAAACAGCATGTGCACGTAGATGCAAATTCACAATTTCCTGATAATAAAATGATATTAATAATACATTAGGTGTTAAATTTGAATAAAATCATGAAACGTACAAAAGTATTACTCATGTATTTATATTCTGGAAGTTACATAAAAAATCTGAGTCGCGAGTTTTTTTGGTCAGAAATAAGGCGTTTCTATTTTGTCAGCTATTGCATTGTGACTAAATTTTGCAGTTTCTTCACATTTCATCGACAATATGTTTAACATAATAGTCAAAGTTATATGCAGGGAAAGGGGTTTTACACAGGCTAAGCCTGTTCCCACGTCCTATTCAGATATCCCGAATACAAATATTGTTTAAAAAAAATAAATTTAAATACACATAAACCTATAGTAGTTTTATTTCAGAATACAACTAAATACAAAAATGAAATTAAATGAAATGGGGTTTATCATTCAACTTTTCTGCGCAATCAAACCGAGGTTCAGTGCACAAATTGGAGTGCACGTAAAAGAGCCCTTGACATTTGGAATTCGATATAAGAGTAGGCCGTAGAGCCGCTATCCGGGTAAAATTTCCCTCATAGCACACTGTATGGCGTATGCCCGTCTTCATTGGCCCAGGTCGGAGCAGAAAGAGAGAGAGAGAAAAATGGGGTTTAACGTCCACTCGACACAAACTAGGTCATTTCGGGACTAACATATGGTTTAATTTTATTTACATAATTCGCTTGCGCGTAGGGGTCTTTAGCAGTGGGAGGAAACCGGAGGACCCGGAGAAAACCCACGAGGTTGGACAGGCGACCCTACTCCTTGGCACGTACAACCGGGGATTCGAAACCACGCCAGTCGACTCAATGACGGAGCAGAAAGAACAGTGGGGCGTTAAACCCCATTTCATTTCATTTCTTCTACGAAGACGGGCTTATGCCACGCAGTGTGCTATGGGGGTAATTTTGCCTGGACAGTGGCGTTTCCGCCTACTCTTACATCGAATTTCAACTGCCAAGGGATCTTTTACGTGCAAGTATACGTTAAACCCCATTTCATTTCATTTTAGAGAAAATTGTCAACATTTTGTTTTTACAGTTTAGTTGTTGCTTTATGGTCTTATTGTGTTTTATTGTCAAGTAAACAGCACACGGAGAAAATCCACGGGGTTAGACAGGCCACCTGGCAAGCGTGGGGTCCAACGTATGCTATCTTACGATCCTTGTGGTCTGGATGTAACAACATAATTAATGCATTAAAGATCAGAGATGCGAGTCACGAATCCATGTTATCAAAACCACAGCCCCCCCCCCCCCCAAAAAAAAAAACCCAAAAGGAAGCGAGTTTGTAGCTTTCGTTAAATTAATTTTCTCAGGTCAAGATGCGATGGGACAATGGCCTTTGATAAACCTGGTTTAAATAATTTAGTTGTCGCCTAAATAAAAGTAGCCCTGTACACCTGTTTCCGCGAACTACAAGATAAACGGCGTTTTAACTCCGGATGACTTTTATATGAAGCTGTTGATGCGAGTTATAATGGTTCCTATTGACTTATAGCAGAGTATAGAATGAGTATATTATAGATAGATATATCTATACCCACGTGGTCTACACCGTTAGTTTTCTATACTTCTATGTTAACATGTGTATTTGTGACCTTTACCGGCCTGGGGTAGACATGTTTCGCTGTCTGCCAGAACAGTCGAATTAGCTACCAAACTGGCAAACAAAATAAATATACTGATCACATTTATTTTAAAAGTAAACAAACGAACGGTTAGCAAGCAATTATGGCGCTAATAAGAACCGTGTATAGGAAATCGAAGTCACCTGTATTTAATATTCAATATGACCTTGTTACATGTTCGCGGATATACACCGCAATTAAAACACGGTCCTCTGTTATTTTCTACCGATTAAATACACCTATACAGCAGATTTGACACTCACACAATGTACCGTGCTCCTCCTTTAGTTCTGTTTAAACACGGCCTCTGTCCCCTTGTGATACTCCGGGCCCTGTTCGCCACGTGTAGGGCTCGCCTTTAAATCGTTAACGTGACGCTAAGACCAGCCGTGAACGAACACGTCTTCGTATATACCTACCTACCGTGCGTTATAATAAACCTCGGGGAAACGACTTTAGGTCACTGTTGAAATTTACTGTTTATTTTTACATAGAAAAGTAGAAGATTGTTTTTATATGTAAGAGGCCTCTTACCAAACGGATACACGATATTAAAATTTATCCTGGAGTGCTGATATTTACTTTGGAAACTTTTTGACAGAAGGAAACAATGGCCCGTTTCATACAGTTAATATAAAACAAATAAAATCAAAACCTGACTTGGTTTCTGAACAGAAACGGCGAAAATAATAAGATCCAAACCCGACATTACCCGTGTTTTATTTCACGTCGAACATGGGTTAGGGTCAGCAGTCCGTAGTCAGATTTTGAACATAATTCCAAATTTGTCGATCATTATTCTTTCGATGCCCTTTTTATATTATTTTCTTAAATTCGAAATGAAATGAAAAGAAATGGGGGTTTAACTATCTACAGTTCTGCTCCGACTGAGCTAATGAAAACGGACTCTTAAATTCAAAGATCCTGGCCATAATATCGGACAAAGTTAAATTATTTTTCATGGCTTAATGCGGGTTATAATGTACTTACATTGATTATTTAACATTTAATTTGACAAAAACAAAAACAATCTATCATCAATAGATAATCCCCCGGCTTCAATTCCTTCGACTTGAAAGACGCAGCCCATCAAAAGATTTGTAGCACTCCTTCATATCTAACTAACTTAATTAAAATCAACCTGTCCATAATATCATATTTTAATATATTGGGCGTTACATTTGTAATAAACAACAAAAGATTTCACGAATCACTTATGGGTGACACTGGTTTGTTTTACATCGTCTGCAGAGTGTGCCGATTGCTGCGAAATTTTTAACCACGCTAGTTGACTCAATGACAACCCTTAATGATATAACCCGCACGCGCTAACCATTCGGCCATCCAACCCCCCAGTTACAGTCGAAGGCATTTACCACGAATAACACCCCATCAATTCGTTTCTTTGTAGTTTTCGCCGACATCTTCGTTCAATCTACTAATCATGGAGACAATACAGGAAAATAAACAAATTCTAACTGAAGCGCATGTAACTTATCACAATAAATCGTTTAATACTAATGTCATAAATAAAGTATATAAATAACATTGGTCACGTCACGCCCCCTTGTCGCACACCTTTACACCAGAAATAACGGAAGTAAATAAATACCGGTATATATTGGGGGATATAAGTAAAATAAATACCTGTTATACAGGTTAACTTTAAACGTCTATATAATTCACACCTAGATTCTATTGGTTCCACAGGTGTGTTTCACAGGTAATATTCAAACCCCTTATTTACAGAAGAAGATGAAGTGTTTATTAAAGTGTCACTCGGTGTACATTTACATATCATAATTCAGTTAAAAACTTAATTAAAGAGAACACCGCCCGGCCATAATGGCCTATGGGACACTGGATATATCTATACATTTCTAAAATACAGATTAATATTAAATAAAACATAATTATAAAATAATATCATATATCTTTTAAAAACCGGGATCTCCTTTGAAACATGGTCAAATATAAAATTGCATATCATGGGGTTGTTATCAGTAGAAAAATACTAATACTTTCTCTCTTACCTTTATCTTATGTATTTACACCTATATTGTATTGGTCGTGTTTCGCAGGTGATATTAAAATCGCTAATTTAAGCCTAGATTGGTGCGACTAAAACCCAACTTAAAGTCATTCAGAATACGTAAGGAAAAAGGAGGTGAACTGCAAATGTTAGACTAAAATGAACTATGTATATAGTTTCCACAAGTTATCTAATAATAAGAATTTGTGTATTTCTTGACTTTTCATTTAAGTGACTAATAAAATATATATATCTTTCAATTCATCAAATATAATTACATATTTGTTTTAAAATTGACATCATTATTGTATGATTATAATCTTTAAGTGGCATTTAGTAACTGGATAGAGCAATAAACTATAACACATACTTATGGAAAAACAGCTATTTATTTATTTACTGATTTTATTTAGGCGACGTTTCGAAGAGTATTCTCTCGACGTTATCAAGCTAATAGTATTACTGCCTTGAAAACGTTGAGAGAATACTCTTCGAAACGTCGCCTAAATAAAATCAGTAATTGTTCTTCCATAAGTATGTGTTATAGTTTATTATTAAATGATTCGCGCAGATTTTAAATAATCTAAAAAGAATACAAAATTCATCCACAGGATATAATCCAATAAAACAATATTTATGGATAACAATTACTATAGTTTATTACACTTCAACGTTTCAATAAGATTTCACAAATCGTTATCAAACATATCAACATAAAAAATAATAAATAAAAAAAAAATGTCTTATTTGAGT